AGGTTATGGTGAGGACACAGTGCTGTGACCCGAGGATGCTGGCGTCTCTGGTGCCACTGTCTCTCCTGCTGCACCTGCTCTGCTGCCAGTGCAGTGGCAGCTTCACTCCTCCTGCTTTGTGTCAGCTGCAGGACACTTGACTGACCGAGTGGTAGGTCTGGTGCCAGCAGCTGGTTGCCAAGGCTTTGATGAAAGCCACTTCCGGGTTTTGTTGGGTTTGGTGGGACAGTACGCGTCCCATGTAGGAGGCCTGGAAGTAGAAACTTTCTTGGGGGTTGAGGTGCTCTGAAGGAAAAAAATGCTCAGTACCTTTGTGAATTTGATTAAGGTTGATTTCCTGTTTGAAATTTTAACATGTCTTTTTAATTGAAATTAATCTTCCCTCTTCAGTGGTTCATCTAGCATATAGGCACCAAAGCAAATCATTTTATTATCCTTCCATCTATGTAAAAACTGTTTTCAGTAAATCAGTTTATAGTACTGATTGACCATTATTTTAAAGATGGACCATTATTTTAAAAAATAATTGACAAAACAAATTGACAAAAAAAAAAAAACTGACAAAAAAAAAATTGACCATTATTTTAAAGATCTATTTTTTGGTTTTGAAATGATAATATATAAAATAATACATTTTTAAAACTTTATTTCAAATTAAAAATTTTAAATATTTATATGAAAATATAAATATACTTAAATTTCAGAGCTATAAACATCCAACACAGTGTCTCATGTTTGAACCAAAATTTGCACTTACCCAACAAAAATGTACTTTGCATTCACATTTGTTTAAAATTTTAGATCTACATCAAAGCTGCAAGTAGTCATGTAGGTGGGAAGAACTGAAAAAACTCAAGTTCTCTTTCATCTTCATAAATATTGTGCTATTCTATTGTTTGTTTGTTTCCCTCAGATCTGTTTGAAATGTAGCACTACAGGCATATATAGCTACAAGGCGCTTGAGTAGTTCTCAACCTCTTTACAGACCTGCTCTTAGGCGAATGTGCACACGTGAGCCCACAGGCCAAGGGACAGATGTCTGGCTGGGAGTTCTTTGAGTTAATTTCAAAATAAAATGAAATAATTATTAGAGATTGTGTAATAAAAATGCACGAATTGAAGTTTATATACATTAATGCTCAGCAGTAGCTTCAACAATTATTTCAACTTGAAATCAAGTTTCATGTATTAATACTGTGGGATAATACCACCCCAGCAAAAGCACCCCAAAGTTGGCATAAAGCAACTATTTTTATCATAGCCAAAGACTCTGTGGGTCAAATAATTGAAATATCCACAGTGTGACTCTATGCTGTCCTTGTTCAGTGATGCTTGTGGCTTCAGATGGGAAGACACAAAGACCAGCTCGACTCTATGGCTGGTGCACGGATCGTCTGAAGGACCCTGCACTTTCTCTTTTGCTCCCGTGCTGACAGATGGTGAGGACGGCGAATGCCTGTGCTTCTTCTTTCCGGACACCTTATATTCCTCGCAGCATGGCGGCCAAGGGGTCCGACTTCACACAAGACTCCGGACACAGGTGTTCTGATGACCTAGGCAGACGCTCATCTGCTTTTCTGAGCTCAGTGTGTCACGTTTGCTCCACTTAGTTGGTTACAAGCATGTCAGAAGACTGTGCAAAAGCACAGGGAGGAAACCTTGACTCTCTGATGTGGGAGTCCAAAGGAAGCGGGAGGTGGAAGTGGGGGCTCTTGCAGTCCTCTTTGAAGAACACGCTCTTCCACAACCAGTGAAAGACATTGGAGAGCAGGAGTGAATTACTGCTGATGATACTGGAATTGCCGAAGCATAGCAATAACAAGGAAGAGTAGGTTTTGTTGTTACCACCCTTTACCTGGGACAGAATCCCCTCTTAGCAGGCCATGGCCCATACTCTGACCTCAAAACACTGAGTAATGTAGCACATAAACAGTTAAAAATTAGCTTCATTTTATTGTTATTTCTGTATTCTTACATCATGTAAATTATAAATTCATTGAGGCTGAAGACCATTTCTTTATAGCTACCAAAATGGTAGCCATAGCATGAATATAATCGATTTAGAAAAGTACGTTGATTGGTTCAAACAACTACAGCCATATATTAAGTGCCTATTATTTGAAACTAAGAGCTTTGAATAGATGGCTTGCCCTTGTCCTCTAATAAATCTACAGTCTCAAAGTACACTGACGTGGAAAAAAATACTCAAGACATAGGAGGCTATGCCTACATAAAGCACTGAATTGATTGCTTTGAATAAATTGGTCTAGTTCCTTAAATAAATCAAGCATTTGCATTTTCTCTGACAATTCTATTAAAGCCAAATGAGGTCACGGGGATGCACCCTGACATTTATATAAAACCCCACATACCCTCCTACTAAGTAAGCCTCTTCATCACCCTGTCTTCAAATGTGAAAACTTTCCATCAATCTCACGGCTGGAGAGGCCACGTGAAGGAAATCAGTGCACATCCAGAGGATTGGCAGGTCCAGCTGCACACCCATAAACGAGCCCGACCATACCTGTCCTGCCTGGGAAGCTGGAAGCAACTGAGTTGCATTTGCAGATGCTGGGTGGTGGGGTCCCTAACCATGTCGGTGACTGCTCCTGGCCATGTCTTTAGCATTCTACCCAGCACAGCTTTGAACTCTTCAGCAATCAACTTCAGAACACTCCTTATGCCCTCTAAAAAGTGCTAAAGCTTAAGAGTTTTGTTCTTATTTTTGCTTTAAAAAGTATACTGTGTTTGTGTGAACAACTGCATGAGTAACTTGCTTTCACTGTGTGTGCAGGACTGTACCCATGGATTCTCTCACTTTATCTTGTTGTATTCCATAGGTGCTATTATAATTTTTCCTTAATTAAAGATCAGAAAACTAAGGCTCAGAGAAACAGTAACTTGCCTGGAGTTACACAGCTGGCCTACACTGGAGTCAGGATCTAAATCTAGTATGCCCTCAGGTGTGCTCTGTGGACTGCTCCCTTCCACTCCCTTCCCACACAGCCAGATAGCTGGCTGCACACTCTGGGGTCGCTGATCACGAGGAACCCCAAGTCTTTTCACTGAGCCAGTTGTTTGGGGTGGCCAGTATCTCTATAGTTTCCTAAGGGTGGACTTTCTCTTTTATTTTAAAGAGAGAGAAACAATAAAAATGGTACAGAATTTCAAAACAAGATGATAGGAAATTAACAGTTGTTTTTATATTGCATATTGTTATCCTCAAAGAGGTTGCTCAGATTAGAAGATATAGGCATGCAAAATCAACAATATAAGCACTACCTGTTCCTTTCAATAAACTAATAGAAAGTAGTACTACAGTTATCTTAGCTATCTTATGTATATATATGTATTTTCTTTTCCCGTTCCTTCTTTTCTTCTTTCCCCCATCCCAGTTGTTCTTTCCTTTCGAGCAGTTTCTTTTCCTCTCACAATGTCTGTTGTACCTTTTGGATCTTATTTACCCTTTCATATGTCCTTTGCAGCTCACATGGCCATGGCCTAATGAAGCATTCTAACAGTGCTGGCTTGTTAGGAAGGAGTGACCAGGAGATGATAGTGTTCCCAATAGGCAAGGACACTAAAGGAAGCTTCTGCACAACAACTTAGGCAGATCTTGTATCTAACTGTTCTTAGTGACCTCTGTGTTCTCATATTTTTTGCTGTTAGGTTTAACTTACAATGACACCCACCAATTCAGCTGGGCTATTTTTTAACAGACTCACAGATACAGCACATTTAACTTGTTCTTTTCATTGTTTTTCCTTACCCGCTAAAGTTGTCTTATGGGGAAGTTCTCTTATGTTGGGAAGCTCCTAAGTTTATGGCTCAGTAACTCTATGATAATTATAAATATAGTTAAAATAAAGAAACTTAGTAAAGGTGATAAACTGTTAGGGTGATAAAACTTCACTCCCGGTTGCCACCAACTTAGTCCAAGCCCTCATTATTACCAGGTTGCATTACTAACAAAAGTTTCCTAATAGCCTCTGGTCTTGTCAGTTGTAATCTATTTGTTCTCAATGTAATTGCCCAAGTAGCTTTCTAACATGGAGGTTATATGTGCAGGGCCAGCTTCACAGGTGTGTAACTTATGCTTTCCAGTGCCTGTACTCAGAAGGGCCCCATGATGAGTTTACTGTTCTGTTGTCACTGTCTGCAATTCCTTATGACCGTTAATAGGAGGCTCCTTTTAATTTTGTATTAAATTCTAGAAATTATGTAACCAGTCCGGTAACATACAATCATATAATCCATCCCTACGCCATCCTTACCCTCATAAAAGCTCTAGCAGCTCCTTACTGATTTTCCTGAGAATTCATGGAATATGGCTTAAAAGCAGAGAAATTCTCTGCAAACTTCCTGCCACTGTTAGAAGTCTGTAATTCTGTGAACCATGAAGTGCTTTGCAGATGTAGTTATTAAGAAATGTCAAAAACCTAATATTTATACAAACCTTCAAAAAATAATCCAATGATGAATAACCAAGTGGGGCATTGTTTTTGTTTGCTTCTTTGTTAGTAGTTCATTTGTCTCTGCAGACGCACCACACTTGACTTTATTGACCCGATCGTCACACACAGTTCCCTCGATTCTTCTGTACTGGTGACCTTTATGTTTCTCTTTATAGTCACGGATCTAGAAGAGACCAGTTAGTCATTTTCACTCTCATTAATTATCTTAGTGTTCAGTAAGACATTTCTGAAAGCGTTCAAAATATACACATTTTGATTTCACTATATTTTTATATCAATTTACAGATGTTAGACCATATTAGAGAACACATGTAGGTCATAAAACCAAACAAATATAAATTGTCTAACTTTCAGAATATTGAAGTCAATGGACTCACCTATGTGTTAGTCAAGTAACAATCAGTTACTGGACATGTAGGGGTTCTCAAGATTTAGAGACGGAGATATTCAGTCCTTGCACCAAGGCTGCTTAACATCCAGGTGCAGCTTAGAGTGGGAGGCAAAAACCACTGTACGTACCACTAAAACGAGGCTTTCATAGATGGGCCCAGGATGATGGGGCAGCTGGCAGGTTTGCAGGAGACGGAAATGATGTCTCAGAGGGTGGTGGGCGGTTGAGGGGTACACTGGTTTCCATGAGTAATTACTGGCAATACGGCAGCTTAGAACCACAGAAATGTATCCTCTTCCAGGCTGGAGGCCAGCAATCTAAAAGCAAGGTTGAGTAAGTCCCCACTCCCACCGAAGACCCCTGAAAGACTCCTCCCTTGTCACTTGAAGCTTCTAGTGACTGCAGGTGTCCCTCGGCTTGCAGCACCCTCACTCTAGGCTCTGCTACCACAGGACCTTGTTTTTCATTGTTTTTCCTTTCTTCAGTCTGTGTCTTTTCCTTCAGTGAGACTTCCTAGTAGATTTAGGGCCCACCCAAAATCCAGAATGATTTCTTCTTGAAATGTTTAACTGAATTCCAACTGCAAAGACCCTTTTTCCAAGTAAGGGAACATTCACGGGTTTCAGGGATCAACACTTGGACATATCTTGTGGGAGACACTGTCCAGCCCACTACAGTAGGGAGTCAGACGAGAAGGCAGAGAATATGGCGTGTTTTTGAACGAATGACCAGCCGTTCAGCATGCATGGAGCATGGATCTGAAGGAGGAAGTACAAGATGAGGCTGGAGAAACCATGCAAGGCCACATCAGGGAGGGCCTCGTACACCACGCTTTAAAAAACCTTTTCCTGAACGCAGTGGGGACCGACTTACCCATTTGCCCTCCTGTGGGCTTTGCGTGCTCTTGTCCACCTCTCCGGAGTGGAGAACTACTGCTTCATGACTAACAGTGGACAGAGGGGTTAGGATTTGTCAGGCACACTTCGATATTTTTAATTGGTTGGCAAGCTTTTAGAATTGCTAAATTTCGTATCAGAATTGTAACTCTTATTGTGGAGATGTGAGTGACACGGTGGCTCTGGGACACCTACCTGCTGGCGACAGCTGGGGGCGTTGTCCCTGTGGTGGTCCTTGTTCTGTCCTGCTGGTCTCAGCCCGCGTTTGTTAGCTCCGCAGAGCAAGGCTGAGGAGTCAGCTCCTTCTGTGTATCACTGTGCTCGGATGCTGGCTTTTTCTCTATCTGGGTTGTTCGGTTCATTCATATTCCCTGATTTTTCCATGAGGTGAATTAATTTGTAACTATCTGTTTAAAGTTCTACAATGGTTTCTCTTCTTTCCTAGTGCTTCAAATTCCCTCTTTTCTTGTCTGCTTATCTTTCAGTTTGTCATGAAAAGGTCCCTGCAAGAAGCTCTGTGTAACGTTCCCCAACTTGGATTGGCTTTTGCTTTAGTTTGTCTGTTTGCTTGCTTGTTTTTAAGGAAAAGAGGGTTTTTTCCCTATAGCTAAGGCCTAGAAAAAACTATTGATCAACCTAACTTTGATTTTCTGCACATTCTTCATGCTCCTAAACATGCACCTCCGTTATTCTTAGGATCCAATCGTTGTGCATGTTTCTTTTTCTTTTAGACTAAGAGCTCCTTCAGGTCAGCACTGACTGACCTCCCTGTCTCCATATCCCTGGTCCAAGCACATTTTCCAGGACACAGTAGAGACATGATAAGAGGTCACTGAAAGTGAGAGAGCGAATGACTGAATCAGGGAAGGAATGCATGAGGGAATGGGGGAATCAATGAATGACCTCTGTCCATATCTCTTTATTTCTCATGTGCAATCAATAGTTTTTTAGGAACACACTATATTTTTAACGGTACTTTGGGAAACCCTTCCCTGTGTGCCCAGAAACAGTCTGTGTCACCTCCCCCTGGCTGCATTTGGCCCTGGGAGGGAGAAACTTCCTGTCCCCTGGCTCCTACCTTCAGGCACCTTCCTGCCTCTGCTCCCTCAGCTGTGTCCCGTTGTCAACCACATTCCAGGTCCTGGAAAAACAAAAGGTTGACCGCAGGCATATGGGACAGTTCTTCTGTCTTTCCTATTCCTGCCTGAGTTCATCCCCTGAATATGAGCAGACTTCCACGTCTCTGAAACTAACTGCCAGGCATCTCTCTCTGCTCAGGCCCTGAGGTGAGCATTCCTGCACCGCCCTCACCCTCTGCGCTGCGTTCCTTTTAGACACCTAAGACACCGGCCTTCTCCTTCAGGATAAGTGAGAGTACTTCAGAGAGCACTTCAGGCCAAATTAGTCTTCCCAGCATTATTCTCAGCTTTAGCCAGAGAGGTCTACTCACTGTTCCCTGATCGTGCCATAGGCCAAACGCTTGCTGCCTTTGCTGACTTCACAATGTGCATCAAATCAACCTGACCCCCGGTGCCTCTACACAGGGCCAGAGTGTCCCAGATCGGCCACTGTATTTCTGAATGGTCAGTGTGTCTTTAGTGCTGAGCTTAATGGGAACCTCTTCCTCTTCTGAGCTTAATGGGTAGTTAGAACTGCCAGGAAGTTAAACACTCACTTTGGTCACTGGGAACTCAACTCCTCATGTTTTTTAGTGTTCTTACCTCATCTTGGTCCTTGAAGACTCTGTTTCACAGTTCTTTATTCTTAATTCTGCAATTTAAACACAAAACATTGGAAAACAAAAAAAAGTCAGCCTTCTTGAAACAAGGTTGACTTTTGTCTTTCTGGATGGAAAAATCTTATCTGACCCAAATATGTTGGGTAAAAAATTACAATTCTTTGCTTGTTGTACTTAATATGAACACCCATGTGTCTTGGTGTGGAAATGCGAGTGTGCTACACCGTGTGGTGGAGCCACCACCTCCACTGAAGGAGTCACGCAGGGGATGGGTGGTGTTTCCTTCCCACAGTCTGAACTACTTCCAGATTCCGAAATACTTCTCAACTCAAGGGCTCAAGTAAGGCATTGTGAGCCAACCTGGCTACTTTCCACATTCGACAAGTGACCAAGGTAGGGCTCAGCAAGGACAGCTCATTCACTTCACATCCTACCCTAAAGAGCTGGGATTAAGACTGGAGCTCAGGTTCTCCGATTCTGCCTGGGGCATGATCCACTCATAACAACCACCTAATGTGGCTGCTTCCTGCAGGGCAGAGAGAGACAGGGAAGTAGGTTCCTTTGCTTTGTTATATCAAATGTGTTAATTTCTCCAAAGGCCAATAGATCCCCAGAAAACATATAGCTGTTTAGAGGTTATTTTCAAAATATTATAGTAACTACTGTATAAGCTGAGAAAATAAAGTATCACATAAAACCCAAAGGCCATAAAGTTAGAGTATTTATTGTGGAAATTTCTGTAAATTTTGTATTTTTCTTCTACTTAGATATTATAACTGTATTATAGACACAAGCTCAATTCTCCAAAGCAGTATGTTCATCATCCATCCACCCACCCACCCATCCATCCACCCACCCATCCACCCAGTCATCCATCTATCCACCCACCCATCCACCCACCCACCCATCTATCATCCATCCATCTACTCGTCCATCCATCCATCCATCCATCCATCCATCCATCCATCCTTCCATGTTTTCTTAGCCTGGTGCTAGGGGCCAACCACAGAGTAGGGTGCAAGTCAGAGATCACCCTTGTCCTCATGGCAGTCCAGTCTAGTGTTTGAACTCAGCTCTTTGAACTGGTACCATGTCATACGTGGAGACTGGTACCTGGCTCAGCCTTCAAACTCTTATTTAATCCGGCATGTACTTTAAATTTATTACTAGCACAGCAAGACTCATGTGGTTTTATGTTTCCATAAAAGAACACCAGACGTTTTGATTCTTGGTGTACCTCGAAACATAATTATCCCTGTAGCTGGGAACAGATTTCCTTACTTGAAGCTTGTGCTAGCTGCACTATTACAACCAGTTCTGGAACAGCTCTAGGATGAGTCAGATTTCCCCCTTCCTCTCTGTGCTTTGTGCCTCCACCCGTGGTCTCTGCTCATTCACATTCCTCACCCAATTTAAGGACAAATCGCAGCAAGTGAACTTCCTAAATATTCTGATCTGCTCATCACTGTAGCCATCATTCCCATTCTGAATGGGACAATGCAGCACTTAGAAATGCTTCAATCAAGTCTCATTTTAAAACTCAGATATTCTCACCACACACAAAGGGTAAATTGGTGACATGGTGGATAAACTGTTCATTAACTTGTTTGAGTTTTTCATAATGTTTATAGGAATGAAAATAGCACATTTTACTCCATAAATATACACAATTATGATCATTTAAGAATAAGAATTTTTTCAGAAAACCTCAATATATTGTGTCATTTAGTGGCTTCCAATTTTCCTTTTAATAAATATCTGAACTTCTTCACTCGACACACAAAACCATTTGTAACATGGCCGCATTAATCTTTCTGGACTAAGCTCCTGCTCCCCACCCTGAACTCACTCACGGCCTCCAACTGACACACTGAGTTATCTTCAGGGTTTTCAGGTGGTCCCATCATTTCTCTTTAGAGCATGTAGGACTCCCCACCCCTCCTGTCACTTCTGTGTTGCTGACAGCATCCTTGCCACAGAAAGGACTTTGCAGGTGAACTGCTCAAGTTTGTATCTCTGCTTCATTTCCTATTAGCTATGAGTCCACAGGTGAGTTACTTAATTTTCCTGTGTCCTAGTCACCCCTACTGTTAAGTACCAATGTCATAAGATTGTCTGGACTATTTGATTGTGTACATGTAAAGAACTTAGCACAGTCCTTGATTCATGATAAAAGTTCAACACATTTTAACATTTTGTAGCACTAGCTAGCTTATTGAGAGTGAGCAAAGCATCGTGCCAGGCACTTAGGCAAAGGGGAAAAAGGCTATTTCTGTTCTTCATATGTTAGCAAAGGGTAATAACACATATCATTACAATACAAAAATGATAATTTTTCATAAGAATTTGGAACAAAATATAGGTAGCAAAATGAGAGAGCTTATGCTCCTCTGCTCCCATGGCTAAGACTGGGGCTGCAGATGTGATTTAAGTGAAAGGAAGCAGAGGTATCTTTTGTCGTCTTTGATAGTCCTTGCCCAGACCCAGAGTTTCTTGATGTGAGAGGTCGAAGCTGGTGGGTGTGGGGGAGAGGTTATGGGAATTCATGCTCTCCACCTTCCTCTTCCTTGAGAGGGAGTGAAGTACTTTGGAAACCAGGTGATGGCACAACGAGGGTGGATAGAGCCAAGTTTCTGATGAGTGAAAATCCAGGGAAGGGAGGAAGAAAATCTGAAACCATGAAAGCAGGGAACGAAGCACCCCTCCTGAGACCCCAACGAGAAAATCTTCTCCTAAGCCCCCAGAGAGGGTTAAGAATGAGGTCAAAAATAGCCTATTAGCACACTTGTAAATCTTAAGACTGCCTTTGAAATGTCACACAACTGTGAATATTTATAATGCTTATGGAATGATGTAGAATTTTGCTTTGTGGATGTTTGCAAATCTGTATCTGCCCTTTGTTCACGTATTTACACAGTGACCTGAAGCTGCATGTGTGTGGCTGTGAGTATGCACTTGTCTGTGCCTTCCTCCTTGAAAAATAGATGTTTTAAAATATGCTTTTAGTCTTTCCCCGATACTGTATAATTTAAGATATCTCAAAATCTAAAATCTAGTTATAAATGCTTAATTTTTCTGTTTTTACAATCAACAGCTATATTGTATAGTGCAGTTCATTCTGAGACTATGCATATAGATAATGCATTGTTAATTATAGTGTCTTTCTTTAACTGAGTCTGAAAAATATTTTGAATCTTAAAGATTTAACTGCAAATTCAGATAGTTTTGAGAATTAGTCAGAGACACTTGAAATACACTGTTACTGGCTTACTACTCATTTCTTACCCCTAATATTCCATTGAAAATTCTTATTTAAATATTTTGATAGTTTTCTGTTCTATCTTCATTTGCCTGTACAGAAGCCAAACTAATTCCTCAGTTCACTTGATAATCTAGTGCATATTTTTGTAGTGTTTTTAGGTTTCCAGGCTGGTGTTTTAATATAAATTTTTGTTCCTTACTTGCTAGTTAGAGAATTTTAAATCTCAGAAGTGGAAGAAATCTTTAAATCATTGCGATCAAATATTGTTTACTTACAGATAACTCACATGTCACACAGTTTGCTTCTTCTGTGTCAAAAGCAGAAATAAGATAGCAGGCTATTTTCATGTAAATATCACTTTGCTTTTATCCAGTATATGGGAAACAAGTGTTGAGTGGTAAAGAAGTCATTCTTGATTTCACAGATGACAGTGTCAAGTGAAAGTGTTTTTGTTCTTCTTGTTGATGGATGAAGTAATGAGTGTGCCATGTATTCAGAGGGGAGGGTCACACTGGAGAGAAATGGTCTCCATGTGAAATCAGCCATGGCTGTACTTTAAGGATAAGGTAAATGAGTCAGTGATGAAGGGGATGCTATTCACAGGCAGACCATCAATCGGCCATTGTACTGATTGCAGCTGAGTTACTGAGCATATTCTGATCCTAACTGCATGTACCAGCTGGTCCTAAACACTGAGGTTGTTGTTACTTACATCACATTTATGACTCCCTAATGTTACCCATTCACAGATGTCAACTACAGGATAAATTCTGTGTTTGTGATGATGTAATCTTTTGTTAGGTACCCATTAAGGCTATTATAGAGGAAATGGATACTTACGATTTTTTAAATACTACAACAGAGACCTTTATCACCATGCCCATAAATTTATTCTTTCTACCATCAAATGTGTAGTTTTAATAGAAAGATACCATTTTAATCCTTTATGTTTATTCTAGTTACAAAGCAAACAAAAGACTATATGTGCCCTGTGATAATAGCAAAAGTCTCACCCTGATGTGATCACCATGCTATGTCCTACAGCAGGAGCGTAATTCTTGTTTTTATTTTAACAGTGACTCAGAGAAGTTTAGTAATGTGTCTAAGGTCATGGAGTTAATCTGTGGTAGACTGACCTTCTAGCCGAGATTGTTAAACTCATAAAACACAAAACACTTGGTTAACTTTAATGAAGTGAAATTGTTAAAAGAAGCTGTTGTGATCCCTAGAACTGGAAAAAAAAGATTGTGATAATTTACTTAGAAAATTGAAAATAATTTTATAATAATACTATTTTATTATACCATGTACTATAGATATGAATTAGGGATATAGATAAATGTTTTCTGAAAAGTGGCCAGTAAAAACAGTTTTGGATTCAGTACCCAACTTCAACTAATATAATAAGTAAGAAGAATAA